CGATGGTATCGAAAGCCGCTGAGAGGTCAAGGAGAACCAGGATGGAGGAGTGTCCTTCATCTCTGGCTCTCCAGAGATCATCGGTCAATGCGACCAAAGCGGTTTCTGTGCTGTAACCGGGTCTGAAGCCTGACTGGAAGGGGTCTAGATAGTTTGCTTCCTCCAAGGACCGTTGGAGCTGGAAGGCCACCACCTTCTCAACAACCTTCCCCAAGAAGGGAAGGTTGGAGACCGGACGATAACTGTTGAGGACAGCTGGATCCAAGGATGGTTTCTTCAGGAGGGGTCTCACCCCTCTAAGTTCAATTATGTCCAATATATTTTGCAAATTATTTGTGGTTCATCAATTCCATATTAGAATTGTGAGCCTTTGTACTTTTTTTTAAAAAAAGAGCACTCACTATGTCATAATTAAATAGCCAACATAAAAATAATGCAAACATTCTTAAATTACTGTGATAAAATAAAATCCCAAACAGAACAGTGAAACCAAGAATAAAGATGTTATTTTATCACAGAAAAATCTGAATGCATACATTACCTAAAATGCCACTGTAGTAGTCCTAAAAGAAATCAGTCAAAAGGTGGGGACTATACCTTATGAGTATTTTTCTTACTGAGGTTCTGGACCCATCACTTGTTCTTATTAGTCCAGATTTTTGGGAGGATCAAAATATTGTGGCATTTATAGATGATAAAAAATAAATTGTGGGCTAATGGTTTGAAGGTGAATTGTAGGATTTAGATTAAAAGATTATTGTATCAGTAAGAAAGATTCTGTTTTCCTGTTAAAATAGATGTTCCCCTCATGAAACTTGGGTGGTTATTTTTTCTGATAAGTATCTGTTCCTTCTACGTTGTGAATTGGGGGAGGGGGGTCATCTCAAATGGACCTTTAGAGTATAGAATCTGAAAACGCATTCCAGTCATAATTTTCATAATTCTAGTTATCATCATTAAGACTCAGTCATAAGTGCAGTCGCAAGAGAATCTCTTTAAACTCTACAGATAAACAGACTCGCTCTCTTAAACAAGTGCAATAGTTTTCTTTAAACTAGATAACCTAAAATACCTAAAGGAAAGTGTATGCAGCATACATCATTCTGAAATTTTGAAGAACATTACTTCAAGCACCGGGATTCTCCATTTAGCTGCTTGTTTATTGAACTGCCAAAGATTTCACTGTCTTCAAAGTTTGATTATCAATTTTCTTTTAAGTAGATGTTATCATATCAAGAGATAATACTTTTTTTTAGCAAACACAGAACTAAAGGTAAATTTGCTTTTTTAATATAATTTTTAAATTTGAAAATAAAGCTAATATTTATTTTGTTTTGATATATTTTAGTATTCATGAGGAAGATAGGAGTAAGAAAAAGAGTGTTGAAGAGAAGCCACCCAAAAAACAGCAGAGAAGAGATGACGAGAGTCAAAAAGAGGAGGACAAAATTAGAAAAGACCCAGATAAAAAGGAAAATAAAAAAGACACAGACCTGAAAAGGAAAAATACTACTAAAGTGGGATCAGCATCTGCCTCTGATAGTGAAGACGATGGAGAAGAGCAAGAAGGGAATAAAGTATATGAATTTTATTTCTTTCATTTCAGATACAGACAAATGTCCTTTATATATTGCATAGCAATTTTTCTTGAGCTATTTTTTTATTAAGTACTGTCAGGCACAAGAAACCAGGAGCCAGGCTAGAGTTCAAAAGCATTGAGAATTTATTCTATGCAGTGTATACAAGAATCTGATCTACTAATAGTGAAGGCAAATTCGTGGCAGATAAGAATCAGCGGACTTCAAGCGGGGATGGACATAGGTCTCTTTCGGGTGGTGGGGTAAGGACTCCAGACTGATGTTGCGTTTGACTCCGCTGTCAAGCACAGCCTAGTCATCTCCTACAGTAAGATGATACTATTTGATGTATTTTGAGTCCCATGTTAATAGGAGTGTTTAGATTCATGATAAATTCAAATATAAATACTGACATTATGACATATTATATTTGATGCTGCCTTTTCTTAGGATGCTTCTCATCAGCTATAACTTTTCTTTCATCTAGTAGCACTATGAAAGCTAAATTATCATGAAATATTCCTGCAGTCGTGGCTCAGTTGTTTCTTTTCATTTTGTTGAAAGTTTAATTCAGTTTCAAATACCTGGATAAAACAGGATTTCATAGGAATTAGTAAATTTTTAAAATGCAGTGGAGAAGCAATACAATGGAATGTAGATTACATGTAACTTTTAAGAATGATAGAATTTTTACTCAGGATCATTCACCTGGTGTAAAATTAGAATAAACAGTTGTTTCAACAACTAAAACAGATGTTTCAATAATAGTTGTTTCAACAACTAAAACTTTTCATTCCTGTTCAAATTAAAATGAAAAAGAAGAAAAAAGGAAGAAATGTTCAAGGATCGCATAGAAGAAACATTTTAAAAGGCCAGCATGAACGTGAAGTAGCAGAAAGGAAACGTAAACAGGAAGAACAAATGGAGGGAGAATCGTGAGTATATCAGGCAGTTAGTTTTATAGACATTAAATGGTTATATGATTAATTACCTTTTCACATTCCAAGGCTACAGGAATAATTCAGTAAGAATCATGTACTGTATAATTCAGTCTTTTATTACTTAGCTTTATAACTTTTTCTTTTATTTATCTGCCTTTCTCAAGACAATATAATATAGCACACTCTTCTTTAGAATCTGGTCACAATTCTATGAGATATATTGGGCTGAAAAAGTAACCCAGAGTTACCCAGTTGAGGATGGCTTTGTGCAAGATTCTCCCTAGCTCCATCATAACCATTCTGCCATATCAGAAGAAAATGAAGAACAGCTAACTAACTTTATCTAAGATTTACATAAAAACACCAGTGGGCAAATTTCATTTTTTCCTCATGAAACTGATAATAAAAAACTGCAATCAAACCCGAAAGCTAAATCAGGCTATTTATTAGAGAATTACAACAGCATCCAAAATATTCTAACATGATGTTTTGAAATAAATAGGGTTTTTCATTTCTTCTTAGTATTCCATAATAGGAAACAATAGGAACATGAAATAAGCCCTTTTATTTTATCATAGGGCCATGCAAAAGTTCCAAAATAATTATTTTTCAACGTTAATCAATTTTCAAAATATCCATATCATACTATAGAAACAATGTTTGAACATGATTTTTGCAATCTGTCTGTATATTGTTTAGTTTATTAAAAAATACAAAAATCATCCCTATTAGCGAATTCTTGTTCATGGGCCTTTTCAGATTGGGCTTCCAAAATGTTTTTGTTTCATATCCATTTCCAGTTCAAAACTAGGACTCAGCTGACAACAATGTAGAATTTATTCTGGGATAAGAGTGATGGGTAACCTAAATCATTGTCAGGAAGCACTAGCTTAGTCCAACTTTTAAGATTTAATATTGTTAAATTTTGATTTCATTAAATTTTTAAAAGGTTATTTGATCTACTTTTCAGTATTTAATAATTCTCCCTTCTGTCACATAAAAATTGCAGATTGTAATAGTAATAATTTTGGGAGATTTCTGGATACAACACAAAGCTTTCAAAGGCTGTTTGCAACCAAGGGCTTCATATCCTGCAGTTCGATATACTTTATGAAATCGGCTATTATGCTACATTAATTATCTCATTCTGAATCAGAACAATGTTAGAAACATTGACTGAGATAATGGCAGCACTAGAGAAATAACTTTTTATTAGATTTGTACAGTGCCTTTTCATTTAGGAGCTGAAGGCAGTATTTGTGATGCTCCCTTTCCTATTTTTACCTATAATAAACTCTGAGCTGGCTTGGATAGAGAAGGGCAAAAATGCAATAGCTATTTAGAACTCGATGTAATACTCTAGATTTTATACAAAATCATATGCAACCTCCCAATTTGATGAATGTTGTGTCTTACATTCTTTCTGAAACAAAATCAGTCATTTATTCAAGTTATTTACTTTGTAATGATTAGCATGACATTGTACTCATTTTATTCTTTGAATCTGTAGTCTAATTTAAATTGAATATTTTGAATAGGCAGAATAGAGAAGAATGCAAGAAACCAGAAATTAAGAAGATAGAGAAAAAACGAGGTCAGTGGTCAAAGCTTGTTTTCTAATTCTTAAAGTATTTTTACTTGGTAATGTAAACAGTATTAACCTACTGAATGAAATTATGTAAGCATTTTGATACAACATATATATATAATAAATTCCATTTCCTTATATATATATCAATATATATATATATATAAACAAACAGAAATGGCATATATATATGTTGTATTTGTGCTGATAAATAAATAAAGGGAGACTAGTATAGATCTATTTCAAGCTATTTAGCTCTCATCAGCTAACCATACCCTTACTGGGATTAGAACCTGTGCTGTATTACATCTTAGGCAGATGTGTTAACCACTAAGCCACAAGGTTCTCCTTGTGTATGTATGTATGTATGTATGTATGTATGTATGTATGTATGTATGTATGTATGTATGTATGTATGTATTTAGTGNTAGATAGATAGATAGATAGATAGATAGATAGATAGATAGATAGATAGATAGATAGATAGATAGATAGATAGATGATACACATGGGGCATAAATTTATAGTACCTGTATTGCTTACCCCCTGATTTATATGGTGGTTCTCAAAAACTTTCACTAACATTGTAATGATCCAAGGAAAAAAGTTCAATATACTACATTAAATTTCATCCTAATGATTATGTTGGCTGAGGGATTTTGAGAGTTGTACTTATCTTAAGGTTATCAGGTTGAGAAAAGGTGATATATGAACTTGATATTATATCAATATCCTAAGCTATTTATATAAAAGATCTATATAGGGGCTTCATGAGCTAAATCATAACAAAATAGTGTCCCCTACATTGGCATCTGTTAGCTCAAAGAGAGATTCATTTTATTTTGTACTGGTGTAATATTTTAATTTGCTTTGAAACACATTTAAACAGTAATTACAGTATAGAAAAAGCTTCACAATGTAGGTGGGAAAAAGGATAACCTTCTATTGGAAGCCCTTGATTTAAAACCACAATTCTGTGGCTAAGAAAGGTGGTCATTAAGTGAGTTGCACCTGATTTTACAACCTTTATGCTGTGGTCATTAAGTGAGTCATCATAGTCATAAAGTGAATTGTGCAGACGTCAAAACTAATTCAGCTTTCTCCATTGATTTTGCTTGTCAGAAGCCGGGTGAGAAAGTTGAAAATGTAATCCTGGATGCTGCAACCATCATAAATACATGCCAGTTGACAAACACCTGAATTTGATTATGTGACCATGGGAGTTGCAATAGTTGTAAGTACAATAAAAAGTCATAAGTCACTTTTTAAAGTGCTGTTCAAACTGTTTAAACAGTCACTAAACCTACAGTCATAAATCAAGAACTTCCTATATGGAAGATGGAAACTTACCTATTATATTCTTTAAATAACTGGGAAATCTTTGCAGAATAGGTACTCAAATCATTGGAAAACCGGCAAAGATCATTTAACTGAGTCTTAATATCATCATTAATAGACTCTGCCTTTGTTAGGGCATCCAGAGTTTCCTTTATAAAACAAAATCATAATGAAAGGTTATAAGATAGCATAAGAGAATGCTTTATAAACTGCGTTTTAACAAACAGTTCGATTAACCATGAAATCTACTATGAGAATGGACTTTATATAGACTACAGTGACATATATATATATAATCTTTTTGCATATATTCCAGTCAATGTTAAGAGGAAAAATTAATATCACATTTTGTTGTGAAAGAATAAATTCATGAATTGATTCATTAATTAAATGTTCGGCTGATTGATCAGTGGAATCAGGTTGAAAGTATGGAGGTAGCCAATTAGCTCCAGTGGTTAAGGCATCAGGTTAGAAACCAGGAGCATAAGTCCTGCATTAGGGACAAAAATTCTAGTCCTGCATTAGGGACAAAAACTGGTCAGGTGACCTTGGGCCAGTCACTCTCTGTCAGCCCAATCTACCTCACATGTATAGGAGGAAGGGGAGAAGGAGGGAGTATTAGATGTTTGTCACCTTGAGTTATTTACAAAGTAATGAAAGTAATTATTCAAAGGTTCAATAAACCTTCTCAATCAAAAGAAAGTTAAAATAAAGTCAAACTCTACCCTTCTAAGCATTTTTAAAATCAAATAATAATCCTGGAATATGTTAAATAAAAATAATAAATCACAATTTCCTTCTACTGGCCATATGTACACATGATAAATTCTGTAAGAAATTACAAATGGTATCCATAATTTAAAACAATGTTGACATTCTCTTCTTGGAAAGACAACACTTTTAAGGAAGATTTTTTTTTAAAGGAAAACATTGTAACTGCATAACTTGCAGCTTCTCACAGCTTTTTGTATTGTTTTCACCTCCTTCCTCATCCATTGCCAATTATCTTTAGGCAACTTGAAATGAAATCTCATGGTTTTAAAACTGGTCAATTGGAAAGAAGTAATGGAATAAATTAGCCTGGACAAAAAATAAGATTTAATCATAGTTTTCCATCTTTCATCAAAAACATGTTGCTCCACGTCCTCTCCATGTGATGTGTCCCCCATTCTAAAATTTAGATTTAGATTTAGATTTTATTAACATTTGTAGGCCACCCTTTTCCCTGAGGGGACTCAGGGCGGCTCACATAAAATCAGGGAGGGGGAATACAAACAATGACGTAGACACATATAATAAAAGTAATAAGCAACATACATTCATCATTCGGGAGGGGCGGCTATCCTTGTCCCCAGGCCTGACGGGCTAGCCAGTTCTTAAGGGCTATGCGGAAGGCCTGGACGGTGGAGAGGGTACGAATCTCCACGGGGAGCTCGTTCCAAAGGGTCAGGGCTACTACTGAGAAGGCCCTCCTCCTTGTAGTTGCCAGCCGGCACTGGCTGGCCGATGGAATATGGAGGAGGCCTAATCTATGAGATCTAATTGGTCGCAGGGAGGTAATTGGCAGAAGGCGGTCTCTCAAGTATCCAGATCCACTACCATGCAGGGCTTTATGGGTGACTAATAGCACCTTGAAGCGCATCCGGAGATCGACAGGTAGCCAGCGCAGCTCGCGGAGGATAGGTGTTATGTGGGTGAACCGAGGTGCACCCACAATCGCTCGCGCGGCCGCGTTCTGTACTAGCTGAAGTCGCCGGATGCTCTTCAAGGGCAGCCCCATGTACAGCACATTGCAGTATTCCAGCCTAGAGGTCACAAGGGCCCGAGTGACTGTTGTGAGAGCCTCCCGATTCAGGTAGGGTCGCAACTGGCGCACCAGGCGAACCTGGGCGAATGCCCCCCTGGTCACAGCCGTCAAGTGGTGGTCAAACGATAGCTGTGGATCCAGGAGGACTCCCAAGTTGCGAACCCTCTCTGAGGGGTATAGAATTTGACCCCCCAGCCTGAGTGATGGAATATTGATCGAATCTTTGGGAGGGAAGCACAACAGCCACTCGGTCTTTTCTGGGTTGAGCACAAGCTTGTTAACCCTCATCCAGTCCATAACGGCCTCAAGGCCTCGGTTCATCACGTCTGCCGCTTCATTGAGTTGGCACGGGGCGGACAGATACAACTGGGTATCGTCCGCATATTGATGGTATCTGATCCCGTGCCTGCGGATGATCTCTCCCAGCGGTTTCATGTAGATGTTGAATAGTAGGGGGGATAAGACCGAGCCCTGAGGCACCCCATATGTTAGGGGCCTAGGGGACGATCTCTGCCCTCCCACTAACACCGACTGCGACCTGTCCGAGAGGTAGGAGGAGAACCACCGCAACACGGTGCCTCCCACTCCCACCTCCCGCAGTCGTCGCAGAAGGATACCATGGTCGATGGTATCGAAAGCCGCTGAGAGGTCAAGGAGGACCAGGATGGAGGAATGTCCTCCATCTCTGGCTCTCCAGAGATCATCGGTCAATGCGACCAAAGCGGTTTCTGTGCTGTAACCGGGTCTGAAGCCTGACTGGAAGGGGTCGAGATAGTTTGCTTCCTCCAAGGACCGTTGGAGCTGGAAGGCCTCTCTCTTCTGCACCCATGAAATTAGGGAAGCTATTACTGAATCAATGTTTTAAATGAAATAGAAATTGTTTTAATCATATAAATTGTTTAGGAACTTGTGACGTAGCCAAATATTTCCCAATATTTTATTTTATCATTATAGGTTAGCTTGATGCCAAATTTGCTTTCACAGATAATCCTCAACTTACGACCACAACTGAACCCAGAACTTCTTTTCTTAAGCAAGGCAGTTAGGTGGGTTGCATCCCATTTTTTGACCTTTTTGCTACAATTGTTAAGCAAATTGCCACAATGGTTAAATTGCACTGTATGACATACAGCAAGTGAATCTGGCTTTCCTCATTGACTTTGCTAATCAGAAGCCAACTGAGAAGGTTACAAATGAAGATCACGTGACCCCGGGACACAGCAACCATCCTAAATACATGCCAGTTGTCAAGCACCCAAAGTTTGATCATGTGACTATAGGGATGCTGCAACAGTCATAAGTGTGAGAACTGATCATTAGTCACTTATTTCAGTGCTTTGAATGTAATATAATTTTTCTCCCTAAGGAGAGGAAAATTTCACTTTATTTGTCATTGGCTGGGTGCTCTCACACTTTAATTCCAAAGTGACAGGATAGTGTATAAAAGTCTTATTTCTCTTTGAACTACAGTTTCTCTAGCAGTGTTCAACATTCTTACAATACTTCCTGGTGCTTAGTTTAAATTCCAAAGGAGTGTAGGGAATGTTTCTTATGGGCAGGAAGCAGGGACAGTGAGGGCAGTTGTAGAATTTGGAAAAACAAAGAGCACCCATTGCTATTCCACAAAAGCCAAGCAAACTAGTAGAATATATTTTAAATTACACTATGACTTACAAAAGAAGCCTTTTTTCACCATACAAAAAGACTTATGCACACCACTGAGGAAAGCATCTTGGAAAACCGAGTTAAGTAGCCTTCTATAAACTTATTTCTGCTTCTGCTCAGAGGCTCCACTTTTTCAGTTTTTAAAAGAGCAATGAAATGCAGTGTGAATACACACAGGAAGCTGTGAAATAATCCCACAACATTAGTAACATCCTGCAGTTTTATATGCAAACGCAGGTGTTTTAAAATTGTAATGACGAATAGATGCATCTGAAATTTTGAAGACATTCTGGATGCATTCACAAAGTGGTTACTCTAAGAGATAGAAACAATTATGAAGCACCCATTTCTCCCAACATGACTAGGCCGGAATGCTCATTTCTATTTTCTTCCTTTTCTGGATAGGTGTACAGTATAAAATAATGACTCATTATTTTTATTTTTGTGAATAGCTTATGAGAGCTTATGGGAATCAGAGGGGATTTTTTGGGGGGTGGGGTGGGGTATGGCAATAAAGATGCTACAGTACTAGAATAGCATAGAATAATAGAGTTGGAAGGGACCTTGGAGGTCTTCTAGTCCAAACCCGCCTAGGCAGGAAACCCTACACCACTTCAGATAAATGGTATCCAACATCTTCTTAAAAACTTCCAATGTTGGAGCATTCACAGCTTCTGGAGGCAAGCTGTTCCATTGATTAATTGTTCTAATTGTCAGGAAATTTCTCCTCAGTTCTAAGTTGCTTCTCTTCTTGATTAGTTTCTACCCAGAAGCTGGCACATTTTGCTTTGAAACATTCTAGTTTCTGAAACTAAAATACATGCAACAAAAAAAGTAAAAATGTATAGTAGGTGGAACAAGCACAAAGTATGTTCCCTCCTTTGGATTCGAGGCTGGAGAGTTTGTGCCAGTGCAGTGCTGCAATATATTAACTTTTCGGCCGAGAAAGCATTTAAAGTTCACGTTTTGCAGTTCTTGTGTTCTGCACTGTTTTTGTTTGAATGAGAACTCTCTTCTGGCCATTAGCAACTTCTCTTTCCTCCCACTGAACCCCTCCACAACACACACATGCACAATCAAAGTGTAGGACAGTCTCAAAAAGAAAGAAAGCAGTTTACCTTTTCTCGATGCCAGCATTCAACCAGCTCTTGGTCTGTGTGCTTACTGTCTAGAGAGGTCAGGCCTTCAGACCAGGTTGCAAGCAAAGTGCTGAAGTGTTTCAAGGCCTTTTCCAGAAGAACAGCCTGGGCTGAAAACTCCTGCTCTGACCTGGCCATCTGACTCTCCAGTTCCTGCAGCCTGTTTCGGGACTGGAAAGCATTCTCCTCCCACTGCTTCCAGTCGGACTGGAGAGCCTGCATTTCAGCGTCCATGTCTTTGCCCCCTTGAACGCTTGTGTTCTTTTTCACAGCGGGAGCCAGTGTTTCGATCCTGTGGAGGCGACCCTCACCAGTGTGTCTGGAATCTATCAGCTCCTGCAATGGAATATCACCATGGTAACTGAAATGGACGGGATCCACTTCAGCCGAACAAGCAAAATGCAGCATTTCACAGAGCTGTGAACTGCTCATTCCACAACCGCTGGCAGTTTCACCAAAAGTGTGTGCAAGCCGGGCTAAAATGTAAGGGAAAAGTAAAACAGAAGCACAGGCAGAAACAAAACAGAGCCAAACCACGTCTAAACGAACAACAATCAACTTTAAAATATACTTAAGTATCCAAAGGGGGGGGGGGGAACATTTTCTGAGAAGTGCAGTACTGAGTTGGATTTTATTAAAATAAACAAGGTATCTGGTTGCTTTTAGAAGTGTTCTCAGCTTAACTGAAAAGTTTTGAGCTATAAGTTCAGAAGAAGCAATGAGAGATATAGTAAAAATATTTAAGCAAGTCTGTCTACAATTTAGCATCATTATTTGAATGAGAAAAATGTTCTTATATACTTATACTTACTATACAAAGTAATACTTTGTTTTAGGTATTAGATAAAGTGCCAACATTGCTACAAAATGCTACATGGCATATAAACTGGATTTGGGAAGAAGAGTTGTTTCACAATTTCTTCTGTATTGCTTTATAATTGCCATTTTGATTTACTTAATAATCACTGTTTACCTGCAGAGGTAGTCTTTATAAATATAATTAGAACCATGTGCTCAGCTGAATATTTTTAAAAAAAGTTGGATTTAATGATGATTTTCTATGAATAAAGAAGTCCTTCCATCTACAGATAGTCCTCAACTTACCGCTACAACTGGGACCAGAATTTGCATTGCTAACCAAGACAATTGTTAAGTGAGTCATCCCTGATTTTATGACCTTTTTTGCCATGGTTGTGAAGCGAATCACTGCAATTGTTAAGTGAATCATATAATTGTTAAATGAATTCACTTTCCCCCATCGACTTTGCTTGTCAGAACTGACTGGGAAGATTGCAAATTATGATTACCTAACCCTGGGACGCTGCAACTGTCATAAATTCATGCCGGGTGCCTAGCAGTCAGATTTGTTCATGTAATTGTAGGGATGCTATGATAGTTACAAGTGTGAGGAGCAGTCATTTCTTTCAGTGCCATTGTAACTTTGCACGGTCCCTAAATCAATGGCTGTAAGTTAAGGATTAACTGTATAGAAGATTTTTCATCTAATAGAGAAATCAAACTGGCAAAATAAAAGCATTTTTTTTTTTGCAAAAGTCCCCTCCTTCTTGTTCCTGTGGAAACTATTATTGAAAGAAAGAGAACAAGAGAATGTCTTCCATTCTGCTGCAGGAAGACAGTCAGAGGAACTAAAAAGTGTCCAATCTGGTTCTAAAGAAATTAGAGGTTTCTTTTTTAATAATTAGTGTTAGATATTCCCCTGCTGACAGACTGAAAGAGGTTTCCACTAAGGTCCTCTATTCCGGCGGGAACAGAGGTTGAATCTCATTGGTCAAGTGGTCTGACAGATCTGTTTAAAAAGGGATGCTGCCCGACCATTCCTCAGCCAGGTGTTTACTTGACTTGCAATAAAGAGCTGTTGTTTACTGAAGCCCTTGTGCCTCCTTTATCCGATCCAACAATTAAAGTTCATTATGTGAACTTCTTAACACACATGTACAAAAGTTAATAACAAAACTACGAAACATTTTCTCACATTGATTTTGGCTAATTTTTTCTGTATGGCAGACAAATCTCCTGATGTGTCCGACCAGCGGTGAAGCTCTTCTTTTGCTGAATGAAGCCAATCAGAAAATTCATGCACTGCATCAAGGTATAACAAATGGTCTTTTACAATATCTTCAGCTATTTTCATTTTTTCCTGTAAATCAAAAAGAGACTGTTCAAAACCGAGTTTAAGGAATTGAAACAATTCTTGATGCAAACCCAGGTTTGTTTATTTGAATATAGTGTGAAGAGCACCATTATGTTTGCCTAATTATATTGTTGGCTAAAAGTCACTATGCACTTTCCCCTTTGTTTGTTATATTTTAGTTGTTTTCATGACTTTGACCCTACTTGTTTTATTTTGGGTGATATGTTGGATTTTTGTCAATTTTTTCTATGACATCTCTAGTTCATCTCTAGTTTATTTCAAATCAGAGATCAGGACCACACTAATTTATGTTTAACTTCAATTACAAATGACTGGATTGAATCAGTAAGTTCAGCTGATTTTTTTAAAAGCACAATACAGTTTAGCATAAAGTGGGAATCCTGTCAGATTCATTGGACCTGTTTTGTAATTCATGTAATTGTGTTGACAATATAATTATATTAACATACATTTTAACCTTTAAATCCACTTGATTAACACTTCTGTAATTCTGGGTGGCCTACATATTACAAAATCTTCACCTTGGCAATTGTTGCAATATTTGTGAATTGTGTTTTCAATTCCTCTTGAGCAGTTTCTCCAAAAGAATCGTCCTGTGTTTTCTCGTGCAGTTCTCTGGCTTTTACTATGAGCTGGTGTAGATCATTAGAACGTGCTTCCACTTCTGAAACAATAGCTTGGAAGCAATCCAGCTGGGAGAATTTCTCTTTCAGTCCATTCTGAGGTTCCAAAGGCTCTTTCAATTTGTGATCTATTGAATCCAACCACTGGTCCAACTGACTTTTCTTCTCCAGGTGGCAATTCCACTGATTTATCACAAACTCGAGCAAGCTTAATGTAACAGAAACACAGAAATCAAAATATGAAAGGTTCTTAGGGAAATAAATTGAGTTTAAACAACAAGAATGTTGCAAAATGGTTGCCCCGGTATGAATGTCTGTTTGTAGATAAGGACTCATAAGGAGTATGGGGGAAGGAAGAAAATGATTCCCAAATGATTCAGGATTGAAAGGGAGGTTAATAAATCTTTCTACATATTTTATATAAAATAGTGCCTTCCCTCCCTTCCTTCTTTTCTTTTTTTTAACAACATTTCTGTTGGGGGAGGGGAGGGGGTGAAAACTAATGTTGTCATTTCTTTAATTCAGTGCTGGATCTGAGTTTTTCCAGGAGCTCTTTGTGTTTCACATTATACTTTTGAAAAGGTCATAATTTCCCCTAATGAGGAGGAAAGTGTAGTCAAATGAAAAAGTGACAGGAAAACTTCCTTTTATGAATTTCCCCCTTATCATTAATCTTGGATTCTGAGCAATTCATTATTATTTCATAAAGTGTCCTCTGAATGGGGGGAAAATATCAGAATGAAAAGCAGCAACATAAAGGTTTACCTTTGACAGCTCACAGAGGTGCTGACAATGCTGCCCCAGAGGTCTCTTAATCTTTGCAGCTGGCTCTGAATCACCTTCTGTCCCTCTTCATTACTTGTCTTAAGGGCTTGTTCAGCTTTGCCAATGGCCATGTTCAGCTTGACCTCTCCTTCTCCTTTCATTAATAGGATTTCCTAGGACACCAAAGTCAATACTTTACAGAGAAAAGGAATACCTCTTTTGCATTGTTTTACCTGTTCTGCAGTATGACAAATGCAAAAGTTTTTATCCATGTAGCTTTTTCCATGGGAAATATAGTAACCTAGATTTTGCTTCCTGTTGACTGTACCTTGTAGGATTATCATTATAAAATTATGTAGTTATTTGCTATTATCACTTAGTAGTGATCTTGAAACAATATTTTGGGAATAGATGGGTTGTTGGTAATAAAAACTCATGGATATTTTCTTATTTGAAAAACAATATTGGATTGACATTTTACCACTGATGATTGTCATCATTTCCGATGATCATAATCATTTCATGATGACATTTAAATTTCTCTGGTGCTAAAATGATGCCATTTTTACTCTTTAAAAATGTTCCATATTAACTTTTATCCAGATATAACAAGACTGAAAATAAAAGTAAATATAAAGGACAAAGTAGAAAATCTGATGGAAATATAATTTAACTACCTTGTTTGTTTATTTCTTGCCTTTAAGTCAAGGTGGTGAACATATTCAACACACCTTCCTCCTCCTATTTTTCCCATAGCAATAACCATGTGGGTGAGTTGGACTGAGAGACGATGACTGGCCCAAGGTCATCTAGCAGACTTGCATGTCTGGTTCTGGCTGGTCAATCACTGATTCTGGGAAACAGTGTCAGTTTTATCTAAACTTTAGTCAAAATGTAATTAGACAAAAGTTCTTTAAAGTCAGTTCTTCTACGCTATTGCCATTTTACCTGGATTTGGAGGTGTCGTTTCTCCAAGGTCACTTTGTCCCCAAGGGTGCCCTCAGCACAGCTGAGTTTTCCTTGAACATCCTTCACCCAGGTCCACATATCCTGCAGAGCTTCTTCCAAAGTCTGGTGATCTTGGAGAGCTATCTGAGAGAGCCGCAGCTTCTCCTTTACTTCCTTGATTAAATTCTGATAGGCAGAAAATTGCTGAGAAGCCAGACGAACCTCCATTCCAGTACTGTAGTCTTTCTCACTTAAAAACTGTGCCTTTTGAGAGAGTTTATTAAAGGATTCTCTAAACAAAAAAAATGTAAAATGTAAAAAAATAACTGAGTTATAAATCCATCTATAAATATGTCATTTTGAATACATACAGACAAACCATGCTATTGCAGAATATAGTTCAGATATGAAAGCTATTAGATTCACACAAAAAATAAAATCACAATCATTACAATCATAAAAATTTGGAACTAGAAGATGTTAAATTCTATTCCTAATCCTTAATATGAGCACTGACTCTCAGGTAACTTAAATTACTACCTTGCTGTTTTATTTGATGTGATTAATTAAGAGCAACAATATAAGCACTATATCAGTCAGTTGTAATGAATCCAGCTGAAAAAGTGGCAATCTGTGCTTTAAATGTGCATTATGAAGTCATCCTTTTTTAGAGATTCTATGAAAAACTGGTATAAATATTGCATGCCTCACATTCAAGTATGTGAACTATTTTCATTTATTTCTCAGTAGAAAAATGTGAATTGTCCCTTATAAAATAGTTCATTATTAGAACCAAATTCAAACCCCTGTTATTTATTGAATTCTGTGAATATTGAAGTTTGCAGAGCTGTAGTTTTCTGCAGCTGTACTTCAGAACAGCCAAAATACACAAACAAAATGTAGGGTAATTGTTATAATCTTATGGCTTATAAAAAAATAATTAGTTAATAAATATGCATATATACCTTGCAAGCAAAAGTTCTTCCAAAAAGGCTTCTACCTTCTGTACCTCGTCTTTCTTATCTGGGATGTGTTGTTTGTGTTCTCCTAGAGCTTCTGTGTTTATCCTTTCTTCCTTTTCATGAAGCCATAAACTCCAGCTCTTGCACTGGTCCTCAAAACTGTAATAAAACAAGCAAATAAAAGAACACCACTATTGTTGGTTAACAGCAAGATGCAACATGCAGCCACTTCATCTAGATGTATTATTCTGATGTTTTGAACAGCCCTGACAAAAAAAAATACTTCTCTCTAGCTGTAAGTATTCTAAAAATACTTAGCAAGTATCTAAATATGGCAAAGCAAAACATGAGAATTATTGTAACTTTGGAACTTCACCAATTCTAAACTGGCACAGTGTGCATTTATTATCGCAGTCAAGGAAAAAACTGAAGACACTGCAAAGATTGTTTCCAAAACATTCAAGCAATTAATGATAATTAATTCAATCCCTATAATGATAATTATAGGGACATGGTGGCTCAGTGGCTAAGGGACATGGTGGCTCAGTGGCTAAGACGCTGAGCTTGTCGATCATAAAGGTCAGACGTTTGGTGGTTTGAATCCCTAGGACCGTGTAACGGTGTGAGCTCTTGTTACTTGTCCAAGCTTCTGCCAACCTAGTAGTTCAAAAGCATGCAAAAATGAAAGTAGAACATATAGGAACCACCTTTGGTGGGAAGGTAACAACGTTCTGTTATGGTCTCCATGGTCATGTGGCCGGCATTTAGTCATGTCAGCCACATGACCACGGAGACATCTTCGGACAGTGCTGGCTCTTCGGCTTTGAAATGAAGATTAGCACCGCTCCCTAGAGTTGGGAATAACTAGCACATATGTGCAAGGGGAACCTTTACCTTTATAATAATTATGTGAGCAGCAAAGTAGGTCCATTACACTTCTGTTGAATTGAATTGAATTGAATT